CTGCGATGAGTTTTATTATTTATGAAAATAATTAAATTCCTAAAACTAATTTATTATTTATAAAAATAATCGAATTCATCAACAAATTTATTATTCATGAAATTAATTGAATTATTGCCAAGATATTTATAAAAAATAATTTTTATTATTTATGAAAATAATTACATGTTTGCGTGCAATTTTATTAAAATTGTTTTTAAATAATTGAATTCTTTTGGGTAATTTTATTAAAATAGTATAGATATTGGAAATCATGGAAATGAGGAAAATTTTTGAAACTAATTGAAATTTTGACAAGAATTTTATTAAAAATTTTGAAAATAATTGAATTTTGAAGAAGAATTTTTTTATTTATAAAAATAATAATTGGGATTTAGTCGAGATTTTTTTATTAATTTTGAACATAATTGAATTTTTTGATAAGAATTTTATTACTTTTGAAAGTAATTGAATTTCTGCAATCATTTGTAACTTTTTCAAAAATCAATTTTTTTAGTGTTTTTAACTAAAATTCTACTATAAATCCTTTATTTTTAGTAATTAATTAAATATATATTGAAAAATTCAGCTAATTTTAGAAGATTTTCAATTATTAAATTTTTTCAAAAATTTAAGTTCATTAATTTCGAATTAAATTCATTTAAAATTGACATTTTATAAAATTTCAAATTGAAACCGTTTGAAGTTCACTTATTTATGAAAATTATAAACGCAGCTCTTTTAAAATTGAATTAATTTTCAAATATTGAAGTAAAATTATAGATTTAATAATTTATAAATCATTATTTTATGAAAGTTGTTTTAGATTTAAGTTATTTAAAAAGAAATAATTATTTTCAGAAATTGAAAAAATTGAAGGTTTTGTTTTATAATTTATGGTAATTTCTTAGTTTATGAGGCAAATAAAAAAGATACAAAATTCTCAATTTGCTGATGAATTCTAAAAATTTAATTCAATTTTCGATAGGTATATTTATTTAAGATCTTAAGAGAAAAATTTGAAAATTTTGGTAATTTTTATCCATGTTAGAAAAGGGATTAAAAATGAAAATTATATAGAAATTATTAAAATTAATTTATAAATAAAAATCCTATAATGTATTTTAAAATACTTATGTATATACTACTAACAAATTTTGAATGATAATTAAATAAGAGTGAAGTGTGAATTAATAATTAATTGATTTCTAACACTGTAGAGAAAATAACTGAAGAAAGAGAGAGAGAGAGCAGAGGGGAGTTTACAGCACTTTCGAAGAGTGCTAAATCACTCTTGAATATTTATAATCAAAGATGTAACGGCTGAAACTTACTTATTCATTTAAGAATCGCTTATTCCTGAATCGTCAGTGATTATTAATTTTTTTTCTAAGAGAAAATTGAAATCTCATCTTTAAAAAATCTATCCACTTAATTATTATATTTACATCACAGGACTTAATAAAACAATTATAGAATTCATAACTATAGAATGATTTAAGTTTAAATATTTTAAAATTATTTTAACATGCCCAAGTGCGAAAACCAACAAGGCACAATACTAGCCCAATATTGTCAAAACTGAAAAAATAATATTTTTAAATTAATTTATATTTATACTGCCTTAAATTAAACGCAATCTTACAAACATTTAATAATTCTTACCACTCGTGAGGATCGATACCTCAACCTGACGCACCAAAGCCTAACACTATGACCCCGCTGCAACGCTGACATGAAGTCGAGAAAGAAAAAAGGTTCTTATAAAGGTTTAAATTTCGCAAATTCGGATTTTTATATTCAGAGAATATAGACTATATCATACTAACTTTTAATTTATTATTAAATATATAATATATTCAAATTCTACTTGAAGAGATAAACCACAAAGTTTACGAGGATGTTAGTAACCGATAAACCAATTAAATTGTTATCGAATCTCTGTTGCCAATGAAGAGCTAACTCAAAGGCGTTTATGTTTCCTAATAGCTATAATCAGATACGAGAATGATATTCTATTCCCAGTCATTCTCACACAGTCTGTGGTTGTACGTGTAAATCTCAATACTCTATTTTCTACATAATAATAAGATTAAATTTCAAATAAGTTATAAAGTATTCCATTTTGCCGAAACAAAACTAAAATTTAAAATTTACTTTCTATTTAGGTTTTTTGACCCGAAACTAAAAATTGAATCACTAAAAAGAATATTTGAAGATGTAATGCAAAATCGGGTTTACTTTATACTTTTGATGGCTATGATAAATAAAGGTTTTACTCATATTATTTCTTTAAATTTTTTGTTGTGATTTATTTGCTTAAAACTAAATAATGGAGTTTTTCATACGTTTGTTTTGGATTTACATTAAAATAATTAATAAATTCAGTTTTTCATTTTTAAATTTAGTTTTATTTTAATTTAGCTTCGAATAGAGACGAAACTAAATTCGTCATTCGTTACTTTTTATTAAAACAAAAAATTTAAATCGAAAATTTTTATCAAAACAATTACTTTATTTTTGAGAAAGTAATACGTTAATATTACTTTCTCAAAAATATAAAATTTATTAAAATTGAAAATTTGTAATTCTATGAATAATATTTTACATTTAACAATAAGGAAAATATAACAACTGATGAAACCAAACAACACCTTCTAGTTTCAGCAATAGACTGTTCCAGGTCCTGTGTAGTAAATTCTCTCGAGAATGGGCATGGTTCCAAAACTGAATGACTCTCACACTCATAACGCCATTTTCGTGCCAATATACCTAGTAAAGACCATTTACGACCCACCCATCTTTGAAAATTATTTATTTATTATTGTAAAAAATGTATATTCGCTTAATATTAGATTCTAAATGACAAGAAAAGAAAAAACTTAATAAAAAAAAAGAATTATTTAGTTTTTATAGTGTTGAAGACAAACGAGATTATATAAATAAATTGTAAAAGTATTCAAAAAAAAAATTCGAGAAACACTAAAAAAAAGTCGTTCACTTTTGGAATATTAAAATAAAATCTGCTATCTGATGCAACGTGTGCGTTAGTCATGCTTGACCCGGTGATCCATTGCCTCGTTCTATAATATAAAAGAAACAAAATCCATTCAGGCATTCAACAGCTTTTAGATTCCCTTTCATCAGGTATAAACATAATGTCTGAAAGATAATTTCATTTTTTTTATTTCTTTATATAAACTTCATGATTATTGAGACGTTGAAAATTTTTGTAAAAAGTATAATTTTTAAAATGGATATAGAAATTCAGTACGTACAATAAAGAAATGCAACAAACATGTTTAATAAATATACCATATTATTTATTAGTTTTGGTTTTTAAATTTAGAGAAGAGAAAAGAAACAAAATTTCTATATAATAACAAAATTAAAGGAAAGGGTTGAAAGATAAGCTTAACTTTTATTTGGGTATTTCTTTTATATTTCAGCCACTAAAAGCTACTATTTCTGTTTTATTCAGAATTTACACTACTTTAAATTCGCTAATACTAGAAATCCAAAAACTATTCTCAAAAATGATAATCAAATTCTTTAAAACAATTCAATATTATTTTTAAAAAGTATTCGAAATTCAATTATTTTCAATATCTATAGTATTTTCATAAAATTTCGCAAAAGAATTCAATTATTTAACAAAAAATTGATATAATACATCCAAAATTAAATTATTTTCATAAATAATAAAATTTCCACAAGAATTCAATTAATTAAAATAAAATTTTCATATAATAGGTATTTATTATATTTCGAAAAAATTAATTATTTAAAATAATGATTATAAAATTCTTAATTATAAAGAATTCAATTATTTTCATAAATAACAATATTCGCCACAAGAATTCAATTATTTTTAAAAGTAATAAATTTTTTCTTTGAAATTCAATAATTTAAAAAAATTCTAATAAAATCGTTCGCAAGAATTAAATTATTTTTATAAATAATAAAATACTTTTTAGGAATTTAATTATTTTCAAAAAAATTTAATAAAATGCTACACAGACATTCAATAATTATTGTCCAAAATTTTAATAGAGTTCTTTGTAAAATTTAATTTATTTTTAAAAACTTTTCGCAATTCAATGATTTTTAATATTTACTATTTACATAAAATTTCCAACCAAACATCAATTATTTAAAAAATTATTTCTAAAAATCTTCGTAAAAATTGAATTTTTTTTATAAATAATAAAATTCTTCTCAGGAATTCAATTATTTTGAGGCATTTTAACAAAATTCAATATTATTTTCATAAATGTCAATATTCAGCACAAAAATATAATTATTTTTACAAGTATTAAATTTTTCCTTGAAAATTCAATATTATTTTAAAAAATTCTAATAAAATCGGTCCCAAAAATTCAATTATTTTCATAAATAATAAAATGCTTTTTCGGAATTCAATTATTTTCAAAAAAATTTAATAAAATGCCACACAGACATTCAATAATTATTTTTCAAAATTTTAATAGAATTCTTTGTAAAATTTAATTTATTTTTAAAAACTTTTCGCCATTTAATGATTTTCAATATTTACTATTTTCATAAAATTTCCAACCAGAATTCAATTATTGAAACAAATTTTCAAAAAATCTTCATAAGAATTCAATTTTTTTTATGAATAATAAAAATTTCTCAGAAATTTAATTATTAAAATTAGAATTTGCATAAAATTAGTCATTTAATTATTTTTGCATAAATATTTAAATTCTTTCATGAATAATAAAATTTGTTGCAGGAATTCAATTTATTAGCAAGATAAGAAAGAGATAAATACTTTTGATGAAAATTAGGAAAAAGTCAGGAAATTAAAATATAGAATGGAATTCTTATAAGTTTTGTGAAGTATTTGAAACGAGTTTTTTTGGTTGTCAAATTTAATTTTTCGATTGCTACTTTTTTACTACTTTTTTTAAGTTTGAAAGCTACTTTTTTAAAATTAATTGTCTAGTGCGAAGTCTGCATGAGGGAAATAAATTTTAAACTGTTTTTTTTTATTTCAGGTCGTTGGTGTTTCTTATATTTATTTGTGCTACACATACACCTGATGTCTCAGCTAGTACCGTAAGTAATTTTCTGACTACTGTTTCGAAAAATTTTAATTTTCAAAATTACTCATTAATTTTAGTTTAATAGCCTAATAATATTAATTATAATAATAATTCATACAGCCTAATATTAATGCAAAAGTCTTTGTTCAATTTCATTGAATCCCTAACAGCAACGGATATCCAAGGATATCCTACGGAATTCCTAGTCACATTTGGAAATTTGGTTATCCCTAGGATGTCCTTAACCCTTTCGTGCCCCCGAGAAACCCAGCGATTGGATTTTGTTGAAACTTGTTACTCAGGGATTTTTGGGGTCGTTGATTACGAATCTGAAGTCAGATTTTTAAAATTTTGAAAATTCAAAATGGCGGATCCAATATGGCGGATATTTTTTCAAAATTGCTCAAATTTACATAAAACTTGTTACTCGGGGGTTTTCGGGGTCGCTGATTACGAATCTGAAGTCAGATTTTCAAAATTTTGAAAATTTAAAATGGCGGATCCAATATGGCGGATATTTTCTCAAAATTGCTCAAATTTACATAAAACTTGTTACCCTGGGTTTTTCGGGGTCGCTGATTACGAATCTGAAGTCAGATTAAGAAAATTTTTAATGTTGACCCCGAAAACACCCGAATAACAAGCTTCAAGGGAATTTGAGAAAATTTTGAAAAATTAGATTTCTTATCAATATTTTTCCATATTTATCTGGCGAAAAGTCCTTTTTGTGTTTGAGGAAAATCGTGCAGGTCTCTACTAACATAAACAGTTTATTTCTTCAGCAGTTTCATATCTGAAACGTAACAATAAAAACATTAGCTATCAATTCGTTATACGAGGATGTAAGCAATCCTAGGATTAGGTTTAAGATCGCGAAGGTCTTGAAGGTGGACGCATTGACCTTGAAGGTGTAGGTTAAACCAGGTAGAACTGCAAGGGCATGGACGAAACGAGCCTTGGCGGCATTCCTGTATGTTTTATTACCTTCTCGCTTTGACGGTGGTTCAGGTTTCGATACTCCCGTCGTAGCCAGACACACCATCTCCACGTTCAATTTGCCTTTGTATAGAAGCAATCACCACGTTTACTTCTTACAATCTCCAATCACTCCTTTATATCTGATGAAATCCCATTATCGACACTTTTCATTCTTACCCTTCGAGAGATAATACTTTATTTCTTACTTCATGTTAGAATATTATCCAGTTTTAGATATTTATTTTTCCTTCTATAATTTCACTAAATGACTAAAAATTACTACAGCTTAAACCATTATCAGTCCCAAAAGTCCGTTTTTTTCTCTTCACATTTGCACTTACTATTTTCAAAGATGGTGGGCTAAAAAATATGCACATCGTGTTTCTTATGTACTTTTTCTTCCTCTTTCAGAATCTGCAAGAAAGTTTAACTTTTGACTTAAGGATTAAAAGTTTAAACAAAAACAAAAATTGTTTAAACAAAAAAACACAATTTTTTGGTTTTTGTTTCATTAAAACTATATTTTTTATTGGAAATCGCTTCAGGAAAAATTTGGACTGACAAAATATCGCGTCCAAAATATATGACCTTTCATTTAGGCATTGCTAGAAATTTTAATTTTTTCGAAATTTAAAATAGCGGCTCAAAAAATAGCCGACAAAATCAAGAACGAAAAATTTAGATTTCCAAAGATTTGAATTTGAAACCTTTTCAAAATTCAATTATTTCTAAAAATCCATGCTACAATGCTTTAAATATTCAATTATTATCTAAAATTTTAACCAAAATTCATTTTTAACTCAATTTTTATTTGAAAATTCTGCGAGAATTCAATTATTTAAATACAAAAATAAATTATTTATTCAATAATTGAATGTTTATTAAAATTTAATTATTGACGAGAATTTGTAATGAAAAATTGAATTTTCAAACAAGCTTTTACGTCCGAGTTGTTTTTTCAATTAGTAGGTAAAATAACTGCTTGTCCGAATGTATTCGTTTAAAAAGTTTATTTTACCTACTAATTGAAAAATTGAATTTTTGTGATAAATTTTGATATTTTATGAAAATAATTGAATTTTGGAAAAGAATTTTATTAAAATTCCTTAAAATAATTGATTTTATGGGGAGATAATTAATTTAATTTTGTTATTCAACAAGATAATTGAATTCTTTTGCAGAATTTACTTAAAATTTTTTTGGAAATAATTGACGAATTTTATTATTTTATTGAATAATTGAATGTTTCTTAAATTTGAATTCTTTCGTCAAGTTTTAATAACATTTTTAAGAATAATTGCATTTTTCGAGGAATTTATTTAAAAATTGATCAAAAATTCAATTCTTGTTATAAATAATAAAAGTCTTTGAAGAAATTTAATTATTTTCAATTTGATTTTAATAACATTTTCGAAAGAATTCAATTATTTTCATAAAAAATATAATTCTTTGCAGAAATTGAATTAAATTTTTAAATTTATTAAAAATTTATAGAAATAATTGAATTCTTTCACGAAATTTTATTCAATTCTTTAAAAATAATTGAATTTTTACGAAGAATTTTATTATTTAAGAAAATAATTGAATTCTTATAAAGAAAAAAATTTGAAAACAACGTTTCTGAAAAAAAATTGAATACTTTTGACGAATGTTATAACATTTTTTTTTAAATTACAGAATTTTTTGGGAGAATTTAATATAAATTGTTTTAAAAATATTTGAAATTCTGCGATGAAAATAATTGAATTTCTAAATGAAATTTTATTCTTGTGATGAATATTGTTATTTATAAAAATAATTGAATTTTGTAAAGAATTTTTTTTAATTACTAAAAATAACTGAATTTTTGTGAAGAATTTTGTTATTTATTTAGATAATTGCATTAAAACTTTTGAAATAATTAAATAATATTAAAAAATTTATTTTGGTAAGATATAGAAAAAAATTTTAATGGTTTTGTATAGAATTCGTGGTTGTTTCATAGTTTATGGGGCAAAGAAAAAGAAACAAAAATTCAGAATTTTCTTATGAATTTCAAAAATTTGATTTTCTCCAGTACTTTTAATAAAAATCCCTGACTTTTCCCTGACCTGTGGAAACCCTGAATATCACCTGCTGCAAAGAAAATCGGAATTCTCAAAAAAAGTTGTACTTGTACTTAATTTAAAAAAGGAGATAGTGAAAATAATTAGTTTTAATGAGTTAGTGCAAATAATTTTATATGCAAATATTTATGATTTACACATAATTACTCATTAACGCATTTATTGGATAAAAAATTTCCTTTGAATTAAAATATTTCAAATAATTGTTATTGCGGAAATAACTTCTTTATATGTTTTGAAGATAAATTTATGGCTTACTATAAAATGGCAAAAAAGTTCAAGTTATAATTTATACATGAAACATCTATTTAAATTTTGATAAAGTAGTGGCAGTAAAGATTCGCGCAAAAATTGGAAAGAATCCCTCTGACATCTTTCCATTTTCTTCTTTCCAGGACGTAACGACCACTTAACTCGGATTAGCAATGCTGTACTGCATAGAATATCTTTGATGAGGGTAAAAAGCCTCACTGGAAATTATCCTTTTTTAGACCATAATAATCTTGTCGCGAAACGATACGAGAAACCATAAAGCTGAGTCCAAGAGAAGGGAAAAACAAATAGAAAGATTTCTTGAGCGATAGTATTACAATTGAGACTTTTTATGTGGTTAACAAATGAACACGACTCGCAGAGTCTGATAGACTGTGCAGTATAAAATGAAAAATGTTTGGAGAAATAAAAGGAATGTATGTATAATGTACCAAAGTATTAAATGTACCCAATACTATTCATATAAAACAATGCATCGTATCAAAGCTTTTCTCTTTTAAAAAATATAATTGAATACATAATTAGACTCACTTCCTGACCGACTATATGATTGAAAATTGAATATTTTAAAATTATTACTATTATAATTCTCTTTTATGTTGAAACCTTTATTATCGTATTTTTTGATTTTACAAGAATGTTATTACCCTTGTATTCTATTACTTTGGTTAAAATCTTTTTAAAAATTCAGTCCAAGTCATTTGTGGCGGAAAAATAGTCTTAAAACTAATTTTAAAAGAAATAGAGCATTAGAGTTTGCGAAGAGGTTCTTAGCCATATAACATCTCAATGGGCAGGACCTTCTGGCACATGTCCAAAGTAGTTTGCATTCCTTGGTTGTAAAATGCAAGATGTGGTTTCCAATAAAATTATTGCTTTCTCTACACCCTTGGATTTAATGATAGTTGATTGTGTGTACAACGAAAGTCTTAAATGGCTACATCATAGATGTGATTTTTAACAAGCCTATTCTATTTTAAATGATAATTATTTTTAGACAATTTAATTAAAGGGATGTTTTTAAGTCTTTAATTTAAAACAAAGTTTGTTGTGGTTATTAAACTATTGACTTTTTTATTCTGAAAAAGATAATTTTGTATATTTTAAATGTTTATTGAGACGCTGATGTTAATTAATTTTTATTAATTAATTAATAATAATTAATAATTATAATAATAATAATTAATAATAATTATTATTATTAATAATAATTCGCGCGTGGTTAACTTTTTACTCACTTTTTTAAATAAAATTTTGAATGAAATTAGCAACTTTGAAAATAAACGTAAAAATTTGTAATTCAAATTTATTTTCATAATAATAAAATATGAATTGGAATATAATTTTATTATTATTATTATAACTATAATAATCATCAATTCTGACACAGGGAATTCAGAGAAAAGTCAGGGATTTTTATTAAAAGTACTGAAAAAATTAAATTTTTAGAATTCATAAGAAAATTCTAAATTTTTATTTGTTTGCCTCATAAATTGTAAAATAACCACAAATTATAATTCAAAACATTCAATTTTTTCAATTTCTGACAATAATTTCTCTTTAAATAACTTAAATCTTGAACAACTATCATAAAATAATGACTTATAAATTATTAAATGAATAATTTTACTCAAATATTTCAAAATTAATTCAATTT